GGGTCAGCCCCACCATTTGTACAATTTTGAATCCCCACCACCTAGGGATGCTTCCAGTCAAATATGGTTGATATCTATCTCTTAGTTCCAGAGAAGAAGTCGCTTAAAGTAATATAGCTAAATAACCCTTTTTGGCCCCGCCCCTCAGCCGCCACGGGGGTCAGCCACACCATTTGTACAATTTTGAATCCCTGCCTCCCATGAATGCTTCTGATTAAATATGATTGATATCCAGTGCATAGTTCTACAGAAGAAGTCGTTTTTAGCAATATAGTCAAAATGCCCCCTTTTGGCCCCGCACCTCAGCCCCCTGGGGGGGTCAGCCCCACCATTTGTACAATTTTGAATCCCCACCACCTAGGGATGCTTCCAGTCAAATATGGTTGATATCCATATCTTAGTTCCAGTGGAGATGTTGCTTAAAGCAATAAAGCCAAATTGCCCCCTTTTTGCCCCGTCCCTCAGCCCCCTGGGGTGTCAGCCCCACCATTTGTACAATTTTGAATCCCCATCACTTAGGGATGCTTCCATTTAAATTAAGTTAAATTCCAATCAGTGGTTAAGAAGAAGAAGTCATTTAAAGAAATTGTTGACGAACGGACGGACGACGGACGCCATGGCATGGCATAAGCTCACCTTGGTCCTTTGGGCCTGGTGAGCTAATAAATGACAGACTCTTAAAGATATATACCGTGAGGTCATGACCACTTTCTGCATGGTGAGCCAATAAATGGAACAGCCAACAACCAGTATCACCCAGCTGTCTCCAAACTTATGATTTTATCGTCACATCTGCAATGACTTTATGATTGTCACTCCATATCTATATGGAATCATAACTCACACCTGACATTGGCATGTTTGTACAGTGGCAATGCACAGCAAATGTAAATACCTGATTGATTTGTATCCATTCCCACATGATCTATTTGATATTGAACTTTGCTATATTTGTATTCTTTAATGATACCATGCAAATAACTGTTATTTGCTGATATGTTATACTGTGTTTGACAGATTGTATTTGCATTGTTATATCTTAATATGTACATTTTACAATATCTCCACAATGGAGAAAATTGATTGGAATTGAATCACATACCTGGTTCAGAACTTGATGCTCGGCTAGGAGATGGTGCCTTCAAAGCCAGCGCTTCAAGTCGGGTAGCCACAGCTTCAAGCCGGTTTACAGCTGTTGTCAATGCTTCAGTGGACATTTCGTCTCCTTCTGTTCTTACTCGTTCCCAAACTTTGGCCAATTCTTCCTGCGCTTGCTCGATTTCAAAATCAAGCTGTTCCTCTTCTTCCCTTTGAATATCTTCTATCACCTTATAAGAGACTTCCTGTCGCTGAATTTCAATCCCTTTCTCCTCAACTTCCACAAAAGCTGGAGTAATATTTTCCTCACTTACCCCTTCTGCTGGCCCCTGACCTTGACTAACCTTATCCCCTCTGCTGGACCCCTCAGTTTTATACACTTCCTTTTCCTGTGTAGGGGAGCTACTCTTTCCAAGACTGACTTCCTGTTCCTGTTTAGGGGAGCTGTATAAATAACTGACTTCCTGTGAAGGGGAGGTAACCTCACTTAAGGATGTGCAGGTTGCACTATCTGTAGGCTGAGATGTTTCTGTTTTCCTTTTCTCCTGAAATGATTCAGAATCAGAGTCACTTGGCTCACCACAACAACAAAACATGATTCTATAATTATATCAACTGTATATGACCGAGTTGAAAGAGGAACAATCCCATTAGTTCATCAACACCTTGTGTTAATTACAAACACATAGTCTTCATACCTCAGGCATGATCAGCTACACAACACAGTACATACATGATGCATTGTTCATCAAGTGTCAATGATGGGCTATACAAATCTCCGAGCTTAATCCTAACAATGTCACTGAGAAAATCCCTGCTATTTCCTTTTCAGAAATATGAGTGTATACACTTTACACAGATGCAAAACATGTTTTCATCACAAGACCATAGTAAACTATATATTGTACATGTATCGCAATACTATTACACACTGACTAACATCCACGACTTCCCAACGTTTGTAAGGAATGGCCCTCAGGAAACAAACATTGTCTGCTCAGATTTGTTGAATGTGAAAATTGAAAAGTGTAACTTTATACACTACACTTTATAAAATTCACTTGTTAATACTTCCGGGTCACCACGTGCACACAATCGTCTTGTCGAAGTGATCGGCTGATATTTCCTTACAGTATCTAGTGTCCGATCTGATATCGACAGACATGTGTATAAATACACAGTTTAATCCTCATGCAATTTAAAATGTAAAGATATTTTAATATTATACCACAGACAGGTATAATAGACACAGGTACATATGTCAAAAGGCTTCGGTTCACCTGAATGTTAAGGTAACTCTGTTTTAGTCTATCGAGCTTATAGAAACTATACACAACTTCCTTAACAGGTCAAAGGTCAATATTGTGTTGTAAATTCCAAAGTAGACTGTCGTCTGCTCACTCAGTAACTATTGTTAACTCATCATTCAATATCAAGTTAGAGAACAACTCTACAGCACACTAACGTTTATATTATGTCTCAAAGGTATATTGCTGTAAAACCTGTCTTATGGTCCTCGTGAAGTGTTCAATATTCCAATCAACACAGCAAGTTGATGACAATGAACAGCCCACGTCCACAGATGTCGTAATCGGTAGGTTATAGTCCCGACTGTACTAAAACCTGCTTCTTATAGCAATGTCTTGACAACTTTAAATTCAGATTTGTCTGAAAGTTGATAAGTTCAGAAAGAAGTTAGTCTTGTCCACTTTACTTGACTGATCCGTTTAGTTTCTACTGCTTCAGAGAGTAGGCAAAGAAAATGTGTGTAATACCAGAATTATTGTTGCTTACTTTAATCTTACATGAAATGTTCACAAGTTTAACCAATAGGTAGACACCTGCCTAATTGACAGGTAACATTAGGTATTATTTAGCCTCCAATACAGGTAAATCCAACAGTTGTCGATGAGAGGGTAACATTTACATCCAACCGCAAACACCAGACCGGCCACAGACTGGCCACCTTATGCATACCACCGCGTAAAATAGTACGAGAATCTCATTCACTGCACAATCAATAATCCAACTGAAAGTTTGTCACTGAAAATCGCTCCATCATTTTGTGTACTTGTTAGTCTGAACCGAGCCTCACCCAACACTGCAAATATTGCACAATTTATCAGAGTTAGGTCTCAAAAATACACCTCCTTTCCCAGACAGGTAAAAGGGTACATACAGGTAAGTTGAATTCCTGACAGGTGAGAGAGTTGGCCGGAGTGTGGATTATTTATACAGATATTACACACAGGTACTCCATCTAAAAATAGATTTTCAGCAACAGGTTTTTTTCCTGTCGATTATAGTTCTATAATACAATGATATATGTAATTTCTTCTAAATATTTAGAGCTATAATTAGATTTTTAACAGGTATAAGTACTTATAGAAGTAAGCTGCTACTGTATATATAATTAAGGACAGATCTCATTAAACATCAGCTCCATAATCTCATAGGTGTGAACTTGATTACAGCCATTCAGGTGTAACATTTACGGTCTTACAGGTGCATTAAAATGATGGTCTATGTATGTGTGTATCAGCAGTACAGTACATATATATGGAGAGGCACCAAGGTCACCGAAATCATCCCTCTAGTCTATTTATAGACACGCTACACTCAGTTTCAGACAGTAGCACTTGTTACTGATATTTATGTGTTGTTGTTTTTCAGCACCAGTACGAGCCTTTAGTGCCGACTTTTGTTCCGAAAAAATCCCGATTTGAAAAAAGCACAAATGTTAGTATCTTGTTGGATGAAGACTTTCACACTTTACCGGCCACACAAGGTCAACACAAATGAAAAATTGAAACAAGATTTCCAAAAGTTTCATGGTAAAAACACACCAAACTGGTCCAAAGTCCTTGACATTGACCCCACTGTATCTATTTATAAACTCATCTTAAGGTGATGATTGCAACAAAGGCTGCTGTACCACTTTCAAATATTTTCTGTTTCAATGGTGGAACTTCCACGTGTTGAAGACGGGAGCTGACATTTTAAGTTCAAGAAGAAATTTACTGTATGTGTGTATGGGGGTTGGTGAGGGTAAGTGTAGTACAGACAGACCCGACAGCTGGTGAGACCAGCAACATGGCTCACTTCATTTCTGTGTTATTTAGACCCCTAAAGCTACAAACATACATACAGACCTATCAGGATTGTTAGGTTGATGGGAAACTGTGTAATTGTGAATCAGACGAGAAATCTAGATTCTCAAATAGCTTTGTAAAATAATCTCTCTTACAACAATTGCGATATTTGAAATATGGATTGTCAAATCAAATTCAAAGTACAAATAATCTCTTATTTAAATACTTAAAGAAACATCTGTAAAAGTAACATTTATATATATATATGTATACAGCTGTTATGTTTTGTAAGGATGTCTATGCCTGTTGCCCAATTCCTTTTGTACATAAGATCAGTACAATAAAATACCCTGTAATGAAAGTAACTTGGGCCATCCCAGGGGTCAGCATCCTTGATATCCAGGGGTTTCGCTCACTTCCACCCTCTGCACCCCTGGAATATGTCATAGCAAAATTGAAGGCACAAAGATAATTGTTTGATTGGTCTCAGGTAAAAACAAACTGACCAATCACTAGGCTGATATTTGTTCTTTGAGATTCTTTTGATGTACATCAAAGGATCAAACTAGTCTTCTTGTCTCATCAACAATTAAGGTGTTGTGTTATACACTGGGCCTTCAATTTTACTATGACATGTTCCAGTGGTGTAGAGAGCGAAAGTGAGCGTAACCCCTGGATATCGAGGATGAGGGGTGTAGAGAGGAAAGTGAGCGTAACCCTGGATATCGAAGGTGATTCCAGGGGTGTAGAGAGGAAAGTGAGTGTAACCCCTGGATATCAAGGGTGATTCCAGGGGTGTAGAGAGGAAAGTGAGCGTAACCCCTGGATATCGAGGGTGATTCTAGGGGTGTAGAGAGCGAAAGTGAGTGTAACCCCTGGATATCGAGGGTGATTCCAGGGGTGTAGAGAGCGAAAGTGAGCGTAACCCCTGGATATAGAGGATGAGGGGTGTAGAGAGCGAAAGTAAGCGTAACCCCTGGATATCGAGGATGAGGGGTGTAGAGAGGAAAGTGAGCGTAACCCCTGGATATCGAGGGTGATTCCAGGGGTGTAGAGAGGAAAGTGAGTGTAACCCCTGGATATCGAGGGTGATTCCAGGGGTGTAGAGAGGAAAGTGAGTGTAACCCCTGGATATCGAGGGTGATTCCAGGGGTGTAGAGAGGAAAGTGAGTGTAACCCCTGGATATCGAGGGTGATTCCAGGGGTGTAGAGAGGAAAGTGAGTGTAACCCCTGGATATCGAGGGTGATTCCAGGGGTGTAGAGAGGAAAGTGAGTGTAACCCCTGGATATCGAGGGTGATTCCAGGGGTGTAGAGAGGAAAGTGAGTGTAACCCCTGGATATCGAGGGTGATTCCAGGGGTGTAGAGAGGAAAGTGAGTGTAACCCCTGGATATCGAGGGTGATTCCAGGGGTGTAGAGAGGAAAGTGAGTGTAACCCCTGGATATCGAGGGTGATTCCAGGGGTGTAGAGAGGAAAGTGAGTGTAACCCCTGGATATCGAGGGTGATTCCAGGGGTGTAGAGAGGAAAGTGAGTGTAACCCCTGGATATCGAGGGTGATTCCAGGGGTGTAGAGAGGAAAGTGAGTGTAACCCCTGGATATCGAGGGTGATTCCAGGGGTGTAGAGAGGAAAGTGAGTGTAACCCCTGGATATCGAGGGTGATTCCAGGGGTGTAGAGAGGAAAGTGAGTGTAACCCCTGGATATCGAGGGTGATTCCAGGGGTGTAGAGAGGAAAGTGAGTGTAACCCCTGGATATCGAGGGTGATTCCAGGGGTGTAGAGAGGAAAGTGAGTGTAACCCCTGGATATCGAGGGTGATTCCAGGGGTGTAGAGAGGAAAGTGAGTGTAACCCCTGGATATCGAGGGTGATTCCAGGGGTGTAGAGAGGAAAGTGAGTGTAACCCCTGGATATCGAGGGTGATTCCAGGGGTGTAGAGAGGAAAGTGAGTGTAACCCCTGGATATCGAGGGTGATTCCAGGGGTGTAGAGAGGAAAGTGAGTGTAACCCCTGGATATCGAGGGTGATTCCAGGGGTGTAGAGAGGAAAGTGAGTGTAACCCCTGGATATCGAGGGTGATTCCAGGGGTGTAGAGAGGAAAGTGAGTGTAACCCCTGGATATCGAGGGTGATTCCAGGGGTGTAGAGAGGAAAGTGAGTGTAACCCCTGGATATCGAGGGTGATTCCAGGGGTGTAGAGAGGAAAGTGAGTGTAACCCCTGGATATCGAGGGTGATTCCAGGGGTGTAGAGAGGAAAGTGAGTGTAACCCCTGGATATCGAGGGTGATTCCAGGGGTGTAGAGAGGAAAGTGAGTGTAACCCCTGGATATCGAGGGTGATTCCAGGGGTGTAGAGAGGAAAGTGAGTGTAACCCCTGGATATCGAGGGTGATTCCAGGGGTGTAGAGAGGAAAGTGAGTGTAACCCCTGGATATCGAGGGTGATTCCAGGGG